CTACTGCACAGAGACATGGGGGGATAGCTCACACAACTGGAATTCTGCAATGGATGGATACAGGCGTTTTAGGAAGGGCAGGCCAAGGAAGATGAGGAGTGGAAGTCATCCTTTATGTAGGGGAGCAGTGAGAATGCATGGAGCTCTGCCTGGGGACAGGTGAGGGGCTAGCTGAGAGCTTATGGGTCAGCATTAGTGGGAAGACCAGCATGGGTGACACTGCAGTGGGTGTCTGCTATAGACCACCCGATCAGGAAGAAGAAGTTGACGAGGTCTTCTTCAGACAGCTGGAAGAAGCTTCACGTTTGCAGGCCGTGGTCCTCATGGGGAACTTCAGCCACCCTGATATCTCTGCTGAAGGGACAACACAGCAGGGACCATGCACTCCAGGCAGTCTCTGGAGTGCATTGATTACAACTTCCTCACACAGGTGATCGAGAAGCTGCTGAGGAGAGGCGTTCTGCTGGACCTCACACTTACAAACAAGGAAGAACTGGCCAGAGATGTGAAAGCTGGGGATAGCCTTGGCTACAGCCACCACAAGATGTTGGAGTTCAGGATCCTGTGAGGAGGCAGCAGGCCAAAAAGCAGGATCACAACCCCGGACTTGCAGGAAAAGATCTTGGCCTCTTCAGGAATCGGCTTGGAAGAATCCCATGGCATTCAGCCCCGGAGGGAAGAGGAGTCCGAGAGAGCTGAGTGATGTTCAAGGAACACCCTCCTCCAAGCTCAAGAATGGTCCATCCCAACAAGCAGGAAAACAAGCAAAAGCAGCATGGATAAACACAGAGCTCCTGACTAAACTCAGACATATAAAGGAAGTGTACAGGAGGAGGGAGCAGGGACAAGTGACCCAGGAGGAATATAGAGACACTGTCCGAGCATGCAGGGATGGGGTTAGGAGAGGTAAAGCCCACCTGGCGTTGAAACTGGCAAGGGACATGAAGGGCAACAAGAAAGGCTTCTACAAGGACATAAGCTGCAAATGGCAGGCTAGGGAAAATGTGGGCCCACTGCTAAACGGGGCAGGGGCCCTGGTGACAAAGGATACAGAAAAGGCAGAGGTGCTGAATGACTTCTTCATCTCAGCCTTTACTGGTAAAGCTGGCTTCCAGGAACCCTAGGCTCCTGAGCCCAGAGGGGAGGTCTGGAACAAGGTGAAGGAGGATCGGGTCATGGAAAACTCTTAAACAAACTGGAGATACACATGTCCATGGGCCCTGACAGGATGCACCAATGGGTTTTGAGGGAGCTGGCTGATACCATTGCAAGGCCATTCTCTATGATCTTTGAAAGGTCATGGCATCCTCAATCTCGGCAAGTGCACAGAGGCCCAACACAGAACGCTCAAACTGCACCAAGAAAAAAGATTCAGCTCTTCGTCTTTCTTCTTTTACTACAAAGTGATCAATTTAAGAATATGCTTGCTAACTATCCTGAAATCATCCTTTGTATGTCCCTGGGGCACAACTGGAAAGCAGCAAGATTTGCATATCAACAGTTGTTTTGTTGACCAATTCATTAATAACATGAGCTGCAAATTTACTGACTGTGCCAGCGTATTAAACATGGCACTCCCAGTATGAAAGTCAGGCTTATATAACGGATGAAATAAGAAATCTCTATTCTTTGCCTTGCTTGTATGACTTCACACAACCACAGGTATATTACCCACACTACTAACGACATCGCACATTACCCATGCTGTTTCAAGGCCTGACTTGGACTTGCTTAGATTTATTCTTACACTATTTCCCTTATACCCTCCCCCTGGCCAGGGCCACTGTTGGCCACAGAGTCTCCTATATTTGAAAGGACCAAAACGCTATATTCTTCTTGAAAAATATTTGAACAGTCTAATTGTCTTCCTAGGTTTCTATGACAACCACTGCAACATAAACACTTCGCTGGCAGCCGCAAGAGACTGAAATCTCTGCTTTCCTCCACTACTGATAACTTCTCAATTTAAAACAGACTGTAACTGTGAACAAATATGATTAACTATAAACATAGAGGTGGTGTCTAGTATACAAGGCTGGCACTAGGGAAGCGTCTTACAAATAAAAATACATTATAGTAATCATAACAGTCAAAACATTCCCTGTTACGTCAGTGTTATCAAATGCCTTGGGATCAACTGGGAACAGTGCAAAGCTATAAATATATAAACAGAGGAGGATTTTCTAAGTCAGCTTGTGAGGCTGTAGAGAGCTTTAAGTATAGCAAGGCCTTCTACCCTGACACTTTTAAGAACACCTCACCGTGCTGGTAGGTTACACAACAGGAATAGAGTAGCCTCTGGCAGACGTCAGAACAGTTGGGGCTAAGACGGCTGCAGAGTTATGTGGCTGCACACACATCATTTGACAGGACAGTATTCACCACGCCATGGCTGCAGTTCCTATCCTTCTAGCAGGGAAATCGCAGACAATATATGAATATAGGAGCCAGGAAATGCACTGCAATGCACAGTCAATCTGAGCACAGCAGAAGCCCTTTCTCTGAACCTCATGTATCAGGCAGGACAGCAGAGCTACTGTTTTTGCCACTACTGACGCACACTGAGGTCCAACAAGCCCCAGACAAATAGCTCAAGTCTTCCTCCCCCTCCTGAGCAAAGTTTCTGGCAAGAGAGCAGGGACAGATTAGGCCACAGTAACTGTGAAGGCTTTAAGTCCGTTCCGTCAATCCTGGACAGCATTAAAACATTGGAATACACAGGAATTACAAAGAAGCTTCAGATGATAACGTATAGTTGTTAGATGTTCATAGGTCACACAGTCACCTTTCAAATTATTAAGTCAGTTTCCCCTCATAAAAACGCTATTTTTGAAAAGTATCTTTTAAATATCTGCCACTGTAAATCTAGCACAGGACAAAGTAATTTTGTGAAATGAAAGGATGCAATTTCAAGCATCAACATGAACATAAGTTCTTCAATGGTGCTGTTAGGTTGTCTTAGGCACTTGTTCTCAGTGCACTGGCAGAAAGATAGGAGTGATTCCAATGGCTCTGACCAACAGCTAGAAACGTAACTGTGCAATCTTCACTGCGGTAATCTGCATGGTTGGAGAGGAAACCCTATGCCTTTGTGGAACTGTTTTTGCTGTAAAGTCAGCTCAAGCTTTGAGGAACCTGAGCTGGGGAGTATGTGAATATGAGCCTTGGTTAGCTTGGAAGTCAAAATCTACACGGATTCCCTCCAGATCATTATGCAGAAATACATCTACCTGTGAGGAGGAGGAGGTGAAATGCATGCATGTTCCACAGGGACTGGGACAGAAGATGCCACATCACACTTCACAGCCTGAAGGATCAGCTTTGGAAAACTTCCTGATTACATAGACCAGGTGGAAGCAAGATTAGCAATTAACGAAATAAACACTAGGACTGGGGATAAACATATTATCTTTGGAAGAAGAAACACAGTTATTCCATTGGTTTTCTTTTTTTGTTTTCAGGATTTTCACTGTAACAACCGCCTATAAAACAAATTGAAAGATATTTTGTTTTCTGGTGGAAGACTTTGACGGAGGTCTTTATACTATGGAATTATTGTATAGTATGGGAATATGGCATTGCACAATATGGAATGGAAAAATTTCTTCTTTCCTATCTGATTTGCTCCAGTAGGCTGTGCAACAAGGAGTGCTATGCAAGAATGATTCATAAATACAAAAGGATTATCGATGCCCGCATTTACTACACGTTATACAAGAAAACTGCCTAATAAATAAAACTTGATTTATCTATCAACTACCCGTAACAAGCTTATGTTTCCATTTATGTCTTACTGCATGCTATTATGATTTTCCTAACTACAGAAATGGTACTTAAAACAACAGCATGTATGAAACAAATGTTGATTTAGAATACAAAAGACAGATCTGTTATCTGACAAATAGGAGTATTAAGTCTCCAAGTGCTGCAGAGCGCATCAGAGTATTAGCTAATATACAAGGTATGTGTGGGGGATAATGTGCAGTGGAAGACAGTCACAGAACAGGCAGAAGGGATGAGGTTTCATAGTCTTCACAGTTACTTACTAACAAACAGTAACAGTCACAAAATTATCACATTACTTTTAAAATCAGGTTACAAAGGAACTATGCTACCCGCTTCTGCATCTGGAAAGATCTACAGGACTAGGCATGATATTTTAATAGTACTGAAATCAAAAGGAGGGCAATTTTACCATCATTTTACATTAACAATTTTACAATTAATTGATATCTCCATACCTTCCAAGCTCTGTCCAATATGACTCTCTGACACTAAGGCACTCAGCTTTAACTTCTGAGAAATACATATAAAAATTTTTACAAAAAACCCCATAAACAATCTCCCAAACCTTTGCATATTTCCCAAATATTTTTATGGTGTGCATGTGGCATAGCTCATTCTAAGTTCAGGGAAAAGTTACACTACTTAAAAAAAAAGAGGAGTTACAATGCGACTTTTCTATCTATGAACGCATACATCCTAACGCTCCAGGTGCAAGGTATACCATGCTGCCACTTTTAAGCAGCGGAACACAGAAATCTGTGGCTGCAAACTATGCTCCTGATATTCTAAACTTTTTAGGTTTTTTTCATTTTAGATTCTTCACTGAACAATAAGGTTTCTTTAATAGAGCAATATTAAAAAATGTGTTTGAATTAAAGTATTTAAAAAGAAAATTAAAAGGAGAGCTTTAAGTGTATATCTAGGGAATATGCCACCTCAAAAGAATGAATGCATCAGGGAAAAGTGAATTTTCCTAATTGGTTGTGTACTTTTGCCACACTTCCTCATTGGTAGACTACATAGAAGTGTGTGCACACACCAGGATAGGCTTTTATTTAGAGTATTTGTTAGAACTAAATTTTCTATTTTTTCCAATTGTAAGTTTTTTTTTTTTTCTAACATCTTAAAAGTAGCATTTTATGTGAAAGTCCTCAATAGCATAAAATAAACTGTCAGCAAAGTTTAAGATCGGAAAATTCTGAAAAGTGACATACCTGCCCCAAGCTGCTTTCATTGTAGAATCTTTATCAACACGAATACATGAGGACTCGACGACACTTGACTTATTCAGTTTGTAGCAGAGACCACAGTCTGGATCTAACATACATCCATTACAATAACTGAAAAATAAATAAATAAGTACATAAGCAACAGTTTATTTATTTGCATATGTCAAAAACAATGGCATTGACTAATCATGCTTAGAATGTGCATAGTCAAGTTGTCAGTGTCGGAAATAAGACAATAGAAACTGCCCAAAACAGAATACAAAGACACAGCAACCATGGGATGACAATTTCCTTGGATTCCATGAGGAATCCTTGTCCACGAGGAAAGGTTTTCCGGAGCCAGAAATGCGTCTTCACATTGAATAGTCCTGGAGGGACTTTTCTTTCATAATTTGTCTATTTATGAAGTAGAACATTCACACAAAAGATTGCATTTTGAGCAGTCCTGGACAAACACAAAAAAGCAGATCTGTGTCCTTTTTTTGTACCACGTTTCGGTAAAAGAGTGAGGTCACCTGCAACATCTCCCAGTGAATGCTGATCAGACTGCAGGAGACTTCATCCATGGAATGAATTTTGACTAAGAAACAAAGAAAGATCGGGGTTGAAAAGAAAGATTCATACAGGGATAACGACCAATCAGGATTTGCACACATAATGGATGTGGGATTCAGTCTGAGATTATAACACCATGTGTCTCCATGTACAAGCTAGCTGTCTGACCTCCCACTACATTTGATGGACATACAGTCAATACAGTCAGTGGAAGCT